CCAACGATCATCAGTGCATATGCAAGTAGCGATGGCCTTGGTGTGGCCATCTTCCAGATGGATGGAGGAGATATGAAACCCGTGGCATACTGTTCTCGCACCTTGACGCCAGCAGAGACGAGATACGCTCAGATTTAGAAAGAGTGTCTGGCCTCGGTTGTTGCATGTGCAAAAATTTGAAAGATACTTGGTAGGACTGGGCCTCGGCTAATACCACTGTTGCGGGTTAATGGGATTTGATGTACTTGTGGTTACATTTTGAGAAAGTATTACATCAGGATAGAAATCTTTCCTTAACCAATGTTAAACACATTCCGTATAAAAAGCAGTATTGCATATGTTGCTCTGGTTGCGAAAAATAGGTTGCACAGTCCATTATTATTGTACTATCCATGATATCAACACCGATATATACCTTATTCCGAAGTAAAGTTCACCTCTTCAAATTACTTTTTTAAATTGCTAATTTGATTTTTTCTGTGTAACATTGTAGAACGTGAAAATGTTACTATCATTTTCGCTCTCTGTACCCTAGGAATATGTCAAAGTAAAATTGACGGCACGCGGTAGCTATTCGATTGGTCTCGGGTACGAAAAACACCTCATCAATCGCTTTTTTGTTTTCGTTATTTCGCGTTGAGGTACGGCGTCTTTTCGTTATGTCGCGACGATAACTAGCGGGGGCGAAAAGACGAAGATTATCGTTTTGTCGAGGCGACAAAACGAAACGACGAAATGGCAGAAATCAGCCACCATACTTGGTTGATACCTTGGCCCGTATTCCTAAAACCGTTCTCATACTCAAGCATGGATTATGTGCTCAAGCCAGCTTTCGTTTAATTCACCTAAATCATGTCAACAATCAAAACGTCAAATTTAAATATGAAAACAGCACTCAGCTTCAAGTTTTTTTCATTATTTGTCGATTTTTTTGTTCATTTTTAAATAATTTATATCTGGAACGAAATATAAGACTTGAGCACAATCTTCATGCCTGATCATGAGAACAGTTTCATGAATACGACGGGTGACTGTGTCGGGGTACCTCTGTTGAACATATAGTTCAGTTAGTTATAAAGAGCGACAGTAGAATGACCAGAGGTTCAGGGTTCGAGTCCTGTACGCGTATTCATGAAACCATTTCCATGCTCCGAAATGAGATATATGCTCAACCCATTTGTCTAAACTCACATAAAATCATACAAATTATTCAAAAAGTAAAGTCGAGACATTTGAAAACGCTATATGGCTTCTAGTCTGTGCAAAATCCCTTTAATTTAAATATCGAAAAAAATGTATAATTTATCACCGAAGCATTTAACTAGGCGTAAACACGAGATCTGAGTTTGAGCATGAGAACACTTTTATGATTATGAGCCCTGGTCTTGGCCTGTGACGCTTTCACACTCGATTTAATTGATATAATTTGATGTTTTTCAATTTATTCATCTGTTTTGCCTATCCAGTTTTTTATCTCATTTTTTAATCTCAGTTTTTCTAGGTATGATATTATCTTCGGAAACTATTTATAAAAGCTACATGTATGGTGGCCGCAGTGGCCAAATGGTTAAGGCGTCCGACATTCTGCTACGACTAGCCCTCCACCACTGGGTCGTGGGTTCAAAGCCTATGTGGGGCAGTCGCCAGGTACTGACCATAGGTCTGTGTTTTTTCTCCGGGGACTCCGGCTTTCCTCCAACACCAAAACCTGACACGTCCTTCAATAACCATAGTTGTTAATAGGACGTAAAACACAAACAAACAAACTATGGTTATAACTAAATAAGGAAGTTTATTACATGAATGGATAGTTTATATTTGTTTTCAGGGGTACGGAAATCCTTTGGATCTTAGAGGTGAAGTTGGTATAGATGTCTCGAATCAAGAAATACATGTATTACACTTAATCATAATCTATTATTCTACGGAAAAACAGCTTAGGTGCCAAATTATTATTTTTGAATAACTAAAACAACCGTTGTGATTACCCTTTTCGATTATCTTCCTTTAATCATTGTGAGATAAATGTGACACGCACCTTTAGAATTAATAACAGATACATTATGCCATTTTTTTCCCACATGATCACATCGCTGTTTCGTGTTGATAGAACTCATCGTCTATGCCAGGGGCAAAACAGATGATTATCAAAATTGTCTAAACTACTGTAGAAACAGAGAGGCTGGTGCGTAGAGCCTCTGAATTTATGGATTTTTTTGTTAAAATTTAATCGTTAGAAGGGTGTAGAATGACACCGTTATCTCGGCAATATCCTGTCATATAGCCAACTGATTGAAGTCAGTTGGAGTGATTCCCCTTGACACCGTTTTGTATAAATATTTCGGACTTTTTCTACACAAACTATGATTGTTTTTGCGTTCAGGTGTAAATCAATTTGAATTATATATACCTTGCGATTTCATTTATTCCCAATGCATTCTTTGCGAACCTAGCACCACATTGTTGACAGACCGATAAGAGAGTAGTGGGGTAGTGCCCCTAGCGGGATTCTGTTTTACTAATGACAGTGACCATACAACATCAATAGTCAAGAGTAACTATGAAGAGTAAATCTGAAAACATGAGACCGCAGTGATCGTGATGGTTGAAAATTGCGGACAAACATCTGGTGATGCTGATGAATATTTATTATACATTTACATAAACTTCTACTGAGGCCAGCAGGGTCGATAAGTTACCAATGCGGTGAATGATACAACGGTGTGTGCGCTTTTGTTTACAGGTACATGTAATCAGACGTGCAGCGATGTTCTAGACTTTCTACAGACGACGGACGGCTAGTTTATGTGCATGGCATCACTTAGCCAACCCAGTAGAGGAAGCATGTGGATAAATCAAAGTATTTACTTTACTCAAAATTCCAGTACATAGCGCCCCTTTCGTTCTCTGAACTTAGGTTACGGCAGAGAACGCAAGAGAGCGTTACTACTGGGATTTCAATAAACTATCCGATACACCGGCTGTCCTTGATATAGCCGTAAAATTATTTTGAAATATCATTTACTTAAGTCTCAGTATGCATTAAACTATTAACTTTTGGGAGAGCCCGTGTTTACTGACGCTTTGGAGTAAAGTCTCTACCCAATCCCCGTCATTAGCTAATGAACCCCGAAACAGGCTGTGTATAACATTTCTGATTGCAGGAAAGAAATAGATATTTATTTTTCATATAATATATTATATAAATTTTTTTAGTATGAAAATCATTTTCAAAACATTGCTTCATAAAAAATAACTTTAATGATTGTTTGTTCATTTAAAAGGTTCTCAGGGAGAAGTTTCTGGAGCTATTTTATGTGGTGCAGCGACCTTCAAACGTAATGCATGGTATGCTTCCTATCGTCAGTCGTCGCATTATAGAGGAGACGCATTGAGAACAATAATAAAGATGGGAGGGCAACGGAGGCCACGTGAAGGACATGGATATGTTGACCGAAGCCGCTTTGACAGCCTATCCGCATCTGAGGAGCAGTCCGACCTTGGAGCTTGACCTGGATGGGTCGAAGAATTTTCGAATCACAAGAGGGCCTGGTAAGCGGCAACTTAGCCCCTCACGTCGGCCGAAACAGAGACTACCGCCAGTGAAAGGCAGACATTAAATCAACCAACCAACCTGAACAATTATGCAGGGATGTGTTTTGAGGTATGTAGTGAAGAGAATCTAACACTCTTGCTCATAATATTGAACTTATTAAACTGGTAGCACGGATTTTTCCAGATTTTAAGAAGGGCTGCAAAAATGTAGATAGAAACAACACTGCATTTATTATCCGATAACTGAAAAGGTAAGAAGCCATACATTGTTCATATGAAATACATCTTCTTTACTCTCCTTACTAAACATGCTTGCTGTGTCTGAGCTTTGGTCCGTCTGTTAAGTTAGGGTGATGATAAAACAATGAACAAAGATGTAGTTGGCTTTAATTATGTAAAATTGTGTGTTTAACTGGTGCTTCCTAATTAATATCAAAATTATTTTTAAAAATATTTGACTTGTAAGGGAATGAATGAATCTAGATCAGGTGATATGGTCAAGATAATTTTGTAAATATGAATGTGACTTCAAGGAGTACTGTGACAGGTCTCTGTAAAATATGACCGACAAAACAGTTTTAAAGACAAGTAATGGTTCTCTGCTAACATTTTCTATGAGACAATGGATCAGCGATTAATTGTTTCGGCGACTGATTGAACTGTTTTATAAACACCTGGCCATGGAGCCCGTCACTGTGAAACATTGCTCAGGAACCATAGTTTGGTGTCAACTCTTCATTTTAAGTCTGGATCAAATTTGCCACGGGAAATATATCCGTTTTCTGGGAACTACAAACTCGGTATATCTGGAAATCACATACAATAACAATTTGCATGATTGTATGTTACTGTATGTATATTTTAACTGCCTACATCATGCATCACAGTCCACAACAAAATTATGTACTAAACTAATTTCTGAAATGCTAAAAATAGAGTGAAAATACATAATTTGAATCAAAAATCGATGCACCTAGGACAATATATGAACAGAAGACACTTAAAAAACAAGAGGAGAATAAGACCAAGTGTTAAACAAGGGTTAATAATCTTTTACTCCATCGACGACAACTTCAATGCAATTCTAGTTAAATCCGTGTAATGTCAACTCCTCAAAGTAAGAGACGGCGCAGTGGCAACGAATGGTACACTAATTGGCATACTCAAATAATCGTCGTTCATATCGAACAATGAACGAGGCAAGTACCATCGAGATCGTGACGATGACTTTAAAACTAATCCATATTAGTCATCATTCTTCATCTTTAGAAAATTTGGTGTTGTAAGTTTGTCAATCAGAATTCGACATGGATCGTGATAGTCCGAGTACGCCTGCATGTATGAACATTGGATCAATTGCGACTAATAAACATCGAAAATAGGGAACAAGGATGCCATTATCAAGAAAGAAAAAATCAGAATAGGTAAAAAATAGAATGGAAACTTTTATTATATAGTAAAGCAAGCCGTAGTGAACAAAAGCAAGGTATAATTTTAATAAAAAGTGATCGCTCTATTAACCCGTTTATATACGTACAAAATCATGTTGTGACTAACACATTGTTAAAACATAATATGAAGAAATAATTCTATAAAATAACCGATTATATACACGTGCTGATTGGTCAACGGGAGGTAACTCGTAATTTCAAAAGTTTCGTGGGTGTTACGCAGTTACTGTTCTGTTTTAGAGGATAGTGATGGACATGTTGTGTTGGTTTCAACTTGCGTGTAAATATAAGTGACTTGAGACCGTCGCCATTTCCAAATACAGAGGTTGTGGTTTGTTCATTTCTCAATTGTAGGAACTATAGAAAATATCCCTCTGCACTTGTTAAATGTAATGACATCATTTATCCGAAACGATCTGTAACGGCTATGTCGAAAAAGATCAATATCTACCCAGAGTTATCGTTCGTAATGAGTGTAAGGAACGACAACTCTGGTTAGAGTTTTTTTTCTTGGTGGGGAATGGAATGCTTTGGTGTTTTCGTAGCTCACAGTTAGATGTACTTATGATGTAAAATGCACTCCGTGTTCATCAAGGTCACTTCCAATATAAAAAATAACCATCGGCTATCGGTTCTGTTGTAATATTATAGATTTAACAATCGCATCGCTATTTTCTTTAATCAAGTTTCCAACCCGAAAACGTTGGTCGTGAATAAGTACTGTCACTGAAGATTTTCCCATGATATATTTGACCCATACGAATAAACAAATGATCGCCCTGTTTCAACGTCAGAACTGTGATTCCTGTTGTTTGATGGTAGTCACCGATTTCATCTGAATCTGTCCAAGACATTCCCCTTGTCGCTCCGTTTACGACCAATACATTTTGGTACGCATTGTGATGATAAGCAAACATGGTCCATGTGATGACGTAGGTACCCGACTCCGGTACCGTATAGAGCCCGTCAGCCGGGCTATATCCGTCTCCATGGTCCAGATCCTCGTGGTCAAAGATTACTGTGGCTTGTGTCCCTAGGGTTATAGATGAGGTGCGGTAGGCGTGGAAAGCAACGGTTTGTTTTGGTGTAGGTGGGGCTACACCTGTAAATTGGAAGAAGATATATTGCAGTATGAATTCAAAGTAATTCAATATGGATAATAACTTCAGAGATTACCTACGATGAATCTTTTGTTATTTAATAAATGTATATGAAGACGGATTATACACAAACATCGTGCATATTGTGATGAACAGATGAACATTCTCTTTAAAGCAAATTATATTGAATTTGCATGTTAAATCTTTTTCATATCGCTATCACAATTGTAAATGTTCCCATATATAATGATAATGATGCAACATTTCATTTAGCTCCCTCTCTAGCTAGAATAAGCCACTCTAAAGCGCTAACAATACATAGATATACAATGTATACAACCAATACATATACATGTAAATCACTCTGTAGCAGGATAACATATATGAACATCAATACAGGTTTCATGATTAAACTTACGGTTATACTGTTTTGGTATTGTTACATCGCTTAGAGCATCTTGTTGGCGTCTGGTGTTGTATTCTCCCATTCTATCACCGGCTGTATGTGCATCAGTGTCTACTCGGGCACCATCAGGGGTGTCTGTGACGTCTGACGTACTGTTGACAGAGGTGGATGATGACGCGCGGGCCAGATGTTCAATACTTGTATCGGAAATCGTGTTCATAATTTCACCCTTCTTTAAATCCGTAACTTGCTTTACCAGATTGCTCAGAATTGTATCCTTCTGAAGCATTAACTCTTTCAGTGATGATATTTCTGTTTCCTGTGCACGTAATTTACTTTCCAATTGGTCGAGGCGTTCATTTTTAATGTTCATCAGATGTTCCATGCTACCGATTTTCTGGTTAACGAATGTAACTAGATCTTGCCATTGTCGGGGTTGATTGTCTGGATCTAGTACCTCCCCGTATGATCTATCGTATCCATAGAAAAAACACAAGAACAGGACAAAGTTTACAGACATGTTGTATTCCTGGAACACTTTACAAAAATGATAAAGTTAACTCTATCGTGTGATAGTTAAGTTTGTCCAATCTTGCAACACATATCGTATCTGCCTCACAACTGAGGATGGTGACCTGTAGAAGGTAGGACAGACTAGCCAATACATTGGTGGCGATATTTGTAGGGACATGTACACTGTAAAGTGAACAGATAACGAAATGTTAGCTCACTCGATTGTTTCGTCGTTAAGTGCAATTAGAGGGATTAAAAAATTCGTGGTTAACATCTACGACGACGAAGGCATCCAAGCACATTTGAAGCATGTAAACCTCGTTTTTGTAACGCGTTACATTGTAATGTCCTTTTCTGCATCATGGTACACTTTTGTGTATATTGCGGTACTGCAATTATTTCTAATTAAAATACATTGGGTGACGTCACAAACCCTGTGTAGGAAAAGGAATAAAACTTAATAAAAAACAGAACTAGAAAACAAACCCATCCTGAAATAACTACGACATTTTGTTTCAATGTTTAAAAGTTATTAATTTCTTCGTGACAAAACCGTAATGAATAAATTTAACAATTCGCTTGCAGTTTTGATAATAGCATTGATACTATTATAATAAAGTGAACAATCTGAAATAACATGTTTAAATTGATATAAATATCATAGTATGTATGCTTTCTAAAGCACCTGGATTTCCGTGAACAACGTAAGCTAACATTGTTTGCAACTGTTTTGTCTCGTTGGATCGGATAACTATCTTATAAGTTGAATGGTGTTTGATATTGATCCTCATAGATCGATATATTGAACCATTCAGAATGCTGATATCGTTGAGACAGGGAAAAAATAAGTATACATTCATATTTAATTTGTATTCTTTACATTTTTTTCAATATTTACATGTACATAAAAATGTCAAGTTAAATGTGACATTTAGAGTTATATATATGCAAGTGTGCGTTTTTGACCATATGATGATGTTTTCTCTATTTAGAACATATCTGTTTGTTGCTGTACTATACGCGAGAGTCGTTTCCCCTTTGTCCTCCATATTAAGTTGAAATTATTAATTTATTATTTACAGCAAGAACATATTCTAGCGTTTATTGTTGTACTACAAGCGAAAGTTTATCCCCAATACTTTCTATATTGCTATTTACTTATTAATTGCAGCCTGTACTATACGCAAGAGTTGTTTCCCCTTTGCCTTCAATACATGTATTATTAATTTATCAATTGCAGCCAGAACATATTTCAAGAATTTGTTGCTGTCGCAAGAGTTATTGCCCCTATGCCTTATGCCGACTGGTTTGTACCATTGTTTACGCTCTGCTGCGTTCGTTGCAGAGGGCCGTCACTCCTGAGATTTCGAGGACGAAGTCTTCTATTGCCATCAAAAGTATGACAGAGACGACTTCGACGGTTACACATATCGATGATCTATTCAGAAACAAACATGCAAGCATACACCTGGTCAACAAAAGCTCAACATAAATAAAATTAAGGGGAGGGAACTGTTGATATGTTAAAAAAAATTCCACACGTCTGCCAATACCAAAGGGTAAACAAATACATATATATATATAACATTGGACAAAGCGCCCTACCTAGCTAGAATAGGGCACTTTAAAGCGTTGTACTGTACAAAGATACACAATTTATACAATCATTACTATTGCCATTAAATAATACAATTTTGAGGAATTTACAGGAGGTGCCGTATCAGGCGCTAACTAATTATATAATAGTCTCTACGTGTGTATGCCTGCGTACGATCTGGAGATGTATTGTGTTCTGTTGCACCGTGCTTCCAACGGTATCATTTATAGTGCCACCTCACTTGAATGCTACGGCACAAATACTACAAAACGCACTTGGGTTGTTTGAGTTCTGTTGGTAGAGAATAACACTTTATCTAAATATCCCATGCGAACAATGACTTTGGGAATCGAACCTCGGCTGCCTGCGCTGAAGGCCGCGTTGAAACCACTCGGCCATTCCGCTCTCCCACTCTCCCCCCAATAAAGGGCACAGTAAAAGTGTTGGATTGTTCAGGTGATGATAAATTCATATTTTTTCTTTTTGTTTTGCGTTACACAGTATCCGTTATATTTTTGAGTCGTCTTTGAGTTCTGAATGTGTTCGTCAATATTGTTGGTTTGGTACGTAATATATCACATTCCATTTAAACTTTAATAACGTAACTTAAACAAAAGATGTATATGATCTATTTATTCATTAACAATGCTATCTATCAGTATTATATGTCTATCTATTAACACCAATCGTGGCACGCGATACTACATTTAAACTTAAGATATATGTACTACTACGAGTGTTAGGTCACGATCGAATGGCCACGCTGTCGAAACAATAGACTACTTAACGTTATGCGGTATTAACCGATATAAAGACCTACCTCGAGGTTTAATTTAAAACTGCTTAACTCCTATATAGCTCTATGGAATACAACACTTAATTCAATCTTAATGCAGATATTCTCGACGGAACAATGGAATTGTCTGTGTAAAATACTACTTTAATTACTATAGATAATGTTTGATTAGATCAGAGATTTAAATACTGGATCCATAAAAAGTAGGACCATGTCAACACTAAGGTAAGTACACAATCTTTATATATTTTATTCAATCTCTCCCAATAACGTAGTTGGTGTCCTAATTTTCATATTTAACCTATATGTTTGAATTAAGTACATATTGCAGATGTTAATACGTGAAAGCGTCCAATACGGGTAAATGTATAGGTGTATATGTTAAATCATTACTCCCCGCATAGCAAGTGTGTCAACAGCATGTTGTGTACCGAAGATCAAGTATTTATTTCAACAATGCAATGCAAATAATTATGACCTATATAATATTATAAAGATAAAAGAAAATACATGGCATATATGAAGACGCCTTGTTATTCTTCCTGGCAATATAACTGACATATGATACGTAACAGTATGTTTCTTTTAGACTGTGGATTTTTGATTCGTACAGGTTTATACTTATCGTATACATATTATATACTCGCTACAACAGTATATAGATTGGGGCATTGAAAACGGTGTAACGGATTTGTCAAATGATGTGTGTGTCACAAATACAATAACTGTATATGCATTATTTTTACATACACACTGTTTATACATTAAAGGATCAACATATCGACTTCATTAAACTTGGTTTAAGGAAATTACATCCTACCAGCATTGAACATCCTTGAACATCCTTGTCCATAAGGGGGCCGCGGTGGTCAAGTGGTAAAGGCGTCNCCCCCCCCCCCCCACACACACCCACACATACACACACCACTGGGTCGCGGGTTCGAGGCCTACGTGTGGCAGTCGCCAGGTACTGTCTGTGGTTGTAGGGTCGGGTTTTTTTCTCCGGGAATTCCGGCTTTCCTCCACCACCAAAACATGGCACGTCCTTAAATGACCAAAGCTGTTTTATAAAACGCAAACAAATCAATATAACCAAAATAAGTACCATAGACCCGAATAGTATATTGCTAGTTCAGAAGTCCAAGCGTTGGTCTATCATATTATAGTACGTGTATAATACCAAATTATGAAGACATGAACTTGTTTTGTTTTGGGGTAGCGTGACACTACATCAGTGTATCAATGTTGTCCCTATGGTATTTGATACCATACCTGGTAATAAACGTCACTTTGTGATGCGATCAGTTTTATTGCATACCTGATACATACTGAAATAGTGGCACAGTAAATAGTATCACAGACCTTATAAATCTTACTCTACTGATACAGTTTTATTGCATACAAGACGGGTGTTACATTTGTGATCAAGTCAGTTATATTTTATACCTGATAAATATTGCTATAGTTAAACAGTGAATATGGTCGCAAACCTGACGAATCTTGCTATAGTGGTATAGCTAGTTTTGTAGTAACCACAGTTTTAGCATAAACCTTTATAATCTTGCTACACGTATACCGATTACATATCCGCACTTTTGTGATACAGCCCGTCATATTGTATATCTGATGCATATTGCTATGGTGGTACACAGGCAAAGCAAATTTTATCACAAACCTCATGGATCTTATTATATATCTTGTAGCATACCTCATGGATCTTATTATATATCTTGTAGCATACCTCATGGATCTTATTATATATCTTGTAGCATACCTCATGGATCTTATTATATATCTTGTAGCATACCTCATGGATCTTATTATATATCTTGTAGCATACCTCATGGATCTTATTATATATCTTGTAGCATACCTCATGGATCTTATTATATATCTTGTAGCATACCTCATGGATCTTATTATATATCTTGTAGCATACCTCATGGATCTTATTATATATCTTGTAGCATACCTCATGGATCTTATTATATATCTTGTAGCATACCTCATGGATCTTATTATATATCTTGTAGCATACCTCATGGATCTTATTATATATCTTGTAGCATACCTCATGGATCTTATTATATATCTTGTAGCATACCTCATGGATCTTATTATATATCTTGTAGCATACCTCATGGATCTTATTATATATCTTGTAGCATACCTCATGGATCTTATTATATATCTTGTAGCATACCTCATGGATCTTATTATATATCTTGTAGCATACCTCATGGATCTTATTATATATCTTGTAGCATACCTCATGGATCTTATTATATATCTTGTAGCATACCTCATGGATCTTATTATATATCTTGTAGCATACCTCATGGATCTTATTATATATCTTGTAGCATACCTCATGGATCTTATTATATATCTTGTAGCATACCTCATGGATCTTATTATATATCTTGTAGCATACCTCATGGATCTTATTATATATCTTGTAGCATACCTCATGGATCTTATTATATATCTTGTAGCATACCTCATGGATCTTATTATATATCTTGTAGCATACCTCATGGATCTTATTATATATCTTGTAGCATACCTCATGGATCTTATTATATATCTTGTAGCATACCTCATGGATCTTATTATATATCTTGTAGCATACCTCATGGATCTTATTATATATCTTGTAGCATACCTCATGGATCTTATTATATATCTTGTAGCATACCTCAT